AAAAAAAAAAATGATCAAAACGCGGGGACGCGTTATTGGTCCTCAGAGGGTTAAGGGCCCCAAAAGCCCCCGAAACCTTGAAAAACGATAATTAAAAGGATTCTCACTCAAACAGACACATACCCCTCCCCCACAGTCACAGAGGTACGCAGAGAGAGGGAGAGAGGGAAGAGAGATTAATCCAAAACATACATATTTCAAACCGAAATATACGACTTCCTCTTGTTCGGAACTAAAGACTGTCAATTAGAAAAGTTGTCTGGCTTGATCCGAACAATTTACCTAGTGAATTTTATAATTGAAGGGAAAACTATGAAACTAACCCTCTCACTTTTATCAAAAAGTGGCACTACTTGGCCCCTGTACCACGCCCGTTTCGGAAACTTTGCATGTCTACTGGCTAATAAATGTGATGCGTCTGTCAAGTTTCATGCAATTTCAAGCATGCTAAGAGTCTCAAAAGCATCCTAAAAGAATGGTAAAGTCTGATGCATCGCCACGGCAACAGTTTCAAAGATATCAAGAATCCATTCACAGGTCTTCATCTGCCGTGTATTTACATTATACAGATGAAGCAAATCGGGTTAAAATAAGAGGGTGATTTCAAAGCATTTTGAAAGTGACAATTCCTGCTGCCAGTTGGTGGAGCTATAACTTTGACTCACATAAGTCACATCCATGTGATTGCCCTCTTACAGCGAACACACTGCTGAAGTTTCATCAAGATTAGTTAATGTATGCTGAAGTTATGACACACTTCCTGTTTCACATTTCTCGCTATAAATTTGTTTCCTCGCCACGGCCAAACCGTTCGAGATATCAAAAATCCCCTCGCAAAATTTCATCCTCAATGTCTTGTCTTCACGCTGACAGAGTTTCGTCAAATTTGGATCAGAGCTCTAGGAGGAGTATTTCAAATTTCATTGCATGCGTTTTACAAACAACCGTGAATATCTGACTTCCTGTTGGGCTGGGGTAAAAAGTAAGAGTGTGAAGTATATATGAACCGATAAGATCTACATGTGTACCGAGTTTCATATCATTACATGCAAGCGTGTTTGATTTATGGACCAAGTGTTCGGACCCCTTTCCAGGGGGCACTGACGAGCCGCCCCGGCACGCCGTTGATCTCGCCGTGATTTTAGAACATTTTTGTAAAAGTGCCTTATTAATTATTTATTCCAAAAAACTTTCATTTATAGCATTTATATATTAATGTATTTGGTCAAATTAAGCTATAAAATAAATAGTTTATCCCTTAAAATGCAATGGATTTTGAAAGAAATCAACAAAAAAACGGGCAAAACTTTAAAAGCGATTTTCTCAGGTTTTCGATTGGAAAAAAAGGGCAGACGACCAGAATTCAAATGTGCATATCTTAATAACCATTCATGGTATGGCTTTGACTAAGATATAATTTGAAAGCTTATGGTGTCCTCTTTCCATTAATACCAAAATCTCAATTTTTAAATTTGGGATCAGGTCACATTCAGAGAACACCGACCATTTAGATGCATAATGCCACCTCGTAGAAGGAGCTCTGGACTGTTTATTGTGTTTAGCACTCCTTCCTGAAATACAACGGGTATCCGCTGGTTACCCATACGCGCAGAGACCAGCGCTCTGGATGGGTATGCCAGATTGAGCCGCGGACTTGAGAGAAGTCGTCTCTCCTCACCGGAATCGGCCAAGGGCAGGGCTGGACTGGGACAAAAAAAAAAATCAGCCCTGGACACTTCATCCAGACCGGCCCACTATGCATGTAGACACACACACACACACATTTATATGTGCATTAATTTGCATGTAAAATTTCTGATTAGATTTTATTTACTATCAAAACCAAGAAAAAAATATTAAAATAATAAACAAAGAAAATGGAAATGATTTTATAAGGGTTTATTGTAAATAGGCTAACTGGTCTTAATTTATGTGCCGCTTATTATTCTAATAGAATATTCTTAGGCTATACTATATAAACTATATTTCATGAAGTGCAACATTACTGCCAGGACCTGCAGAATATATATATATTCTGTAGGTCCTGGCAGTGATGTTTCACCTCATGAAATATAGTTTACATAGTATAGTATATCTATATTTCATATATATCATTTATACAGTGTGTGTGTGTGTGTGTGTGTGTGTATATATATATATATATATATATATATATATTAATCCTTGTTAAAGCTGTTAGTCAGTTATTTCTCTTTGTCTTTTGTTCACATTTATGACACAGACAGGTGTAAAAATATATATGTGCATATTTATATGCAAAATACTCCTTTCTATAGGTATTTTTCAAGTCAACTATGTGCTATGGTCATTTAATGTCTTTCCTGAGGTAAATGTAACGTTCTGTGACATAATTGTTCTCATGCTGTTTTATTAATCTCTTTCCGTGGTTGAAAAGCACTGATTGATTGATATTATTTATGAGGCATATACCGTTTGATAAGTTGTAGGCTACTGTATCTTATCTTTAAATAAAAAGTAACAGATGATCGGTTTACTTGAACTGAGGCATTAAAGCGATCTGTCACGTCATATTTTCTAACGGCAAAACGGTATTGTCTGATATATAGATCAGTGAGTGGAGGCCTATTACAGCTGGAATATCATAACATTTTTAAACAAAACAATGGAGAAGGCTACGTGTAGCTTATCATTCTAAATGAATGATAAATGAATGGCCAGCAGCCATATCACCCTGTAGGCCAGCAGCCATATCACCCTGTAGCCCAAGACTGGTTGCTCACTGAAGCTAAGCAGGGCTGAGCCTGGTTAGTACCTGGATGGGAGACCTTCTGTGAAAGCCAGGTTGCTGCTGGAAGAGGTGTTCGTGAGGCCAGCAGGGGGTGCTCATCCTGTGGTCTGTGTGGGTCCTAATACCCCAGTATAGTAATGGGGACACTACACTGTCAAAGAGCACCGTCCTTCGGATGAGACCTTAAACCGAGGTCCTGACTCTCTGTGGTCATTAAAAATCCCAGGATGTCTTTCGAAAGAGTAGGGGTGTAACCCCGGCATCCTGGCCAAATTTGCCCAGTGGCCTCTGTCCATCATGGCCTCCTAATCATCCCCATCTATAACAATTGGCTTCATCACTTTCTCCTCTCCACCAGTAAGCTGGTGTGTGGTGAGCGTTCTGGCGCACTATGGCTGCCGTCGCATCATCCAGGTGGATGCTGCACAGTGGTGGTTGAGGAGATTCCCCTCTCTATATAAAGCGCTTTGAGTGCCGTGAAAATCGTTATATAAATATAATGAATTATTATTATTATTAAATATCTCACCTCAGCAGTCAGGCGTGCCCTGCTGACATCTTCACTTAAGTAAAGAAAATAATTAATTTATTTTAACACATTTGGTGGCATCTGCCTCAAGTTATTGTAGTTGTCTTGTTGTTTTTTCTCTCTCAACTTCTCGGCCCCCCTTCACGTTTAGAGATGTTATACTTTAACATGAATTTCGTTGCACAACGTCACATCGCATCACTGCAGTTGTTGTAAAGTGGCTGCTTTTCAAGTCTTGAATTTGAACTTGATTCCGATTGGCCAGTGTCAGACAGTCAGACCTGTCAGTCTCGCAACTTGCGTCAGCTTCATGCGGCTTCATGAGAGAGACGCATAATAAGCCCAGAATTGGACAATATAACAATATACTTACGATAGAATATATTTACAATTAATAATGATTTAAAAACAAAATACATAACGCGTCGGGCCGCCGGCCCAACCAGACCGCGGCCCACCGGGAATCTCCCGGTAGTCCCGATGGCCAGTACATGCCTGGCCAAGGGGCTGTGTGTGACAGCCGCATCAGCTCTGGGAACCAGATTTGATTCTCCTATTGCGGGGCTATAAGGAGCACCATGTGGCTTGTTTCCCTGATCCTCTTGATTACCTGTGGTAACAGAGAGACCGGAATGAAAGCAAGAGGGAGGCTGGGCCAGGTTTGGGCCAGCGCATCCTCGTTCCTCAAAAAGAACAGCGGGCAATGAGGGTTGTCTTTTGACGCAAACAGATCGACTTTCGCGTTGCCAAAAAGGTGCCACAGTAACTGAACTGTCTTTGGGGTGCAGGGACCATTCCCCTGGGGGACCATGGTTCCTGGATAGCATGTCTGGGCCATCGTTTAGGTGGCCTGGCACATGCTCTCAGCGAGGGCAGGAGGTGCTGAGACCAAACGCTCCCATTGCCACACCCAGTTTCAATTCAGAGTCCAATTCAGTTTCACGCGCGAGGTTCAGTGGTAGGCTACAGCAGTTACCTAGGATAAATTTTGGCTTCAATATCTTAATAAAAGATGACTTTACCCATAGCGTAACAAATTACGCAATACGAGAGAACCTCTCATAAGAGAACCGGTGTTATCAGAAATCTCCACTTTGGCCACAGTTTTTAGAAATAATAATTTTCGGTGCTAAAAACTGGGTTTTCGTGTAGGCTACATGAGAGGCCAAACTGCAGGGAAATCTGCATCTTCCCTTCGTGCAAATGGGGCATAAGATTATGAATCGGTGATCTACTGCTATTCCTGCAGTTACTAGATGTGAAATGCTGAATTCTCCTTTTGAATTGGAACCACTGAATTTGTGGAAGCAAATTTGTCAAGTGAAATAAAAATGGACTGAAAATTGTCAGTCGAATATTAGAGGTTGTCCTTTTAAACAGAATGAACATTTTGTAAGTGAAATCTGAAAGGTGAATATAGATAGTTGAATTTTTAATAGTGAATTTTTTTTTTAATTGAAATATTCACAGCTTAAATATACAACCATGTTGAATTTAGCCCATAGAAATGCAAGCCCTAAAAATACAATGCTTTAAAATGCACGCACGGTTAATGTAATGCATAAGTAGAGAAATTAAACAAGCTTTTGTGTTTCAAAAACATTTGGCATTGTTGTATTTCCATATCAAAACAATATCAAAACCTCCCACAAAGCCTAAACCATGTAATTTTTTTCAGCTCAAAAGGCAAGACAACAGCACCTTTTGTCCGTTAAGCTCCACTTTAGGGTTGTTTTCAATCTCCCACAAGCCTTCATTGAAGCCCTTCCTTTTGTTTGGTTTGCCATATTTGTCTTTGTTAGTCAAATAGGGGAAGATGTCTTTGGGACCCAAGAATGCTCTGAAACATTAAACAGAAAGCACATAATACATAACTATGACATTTAAATATCCATATCTTAACGTCTCTTTTTTTAAACAGTTGTTGCTTTTTAAACATTATTTAACAGTTTTTTTAAACATTATTTAAAATGAACAGCAAGACAACTAGAAGTGAATGTGTTGTCAAGTAAATGAATCACATACAGTAAACAAATCCTTAAAAAAAAAATAATCAAAAACTGTTGCAATGAACGTGCTTTGTTTTAAATAAAATCACACACAGTAAACAAAACCTCAACAAAGAAAAACTTTGCAATTTAGAGACGCGCAAACTGCGTGCAGGTCTGGTGAGACGTACGTTCTCGAGCAGATTCAGCTTGAAGTCGCTCATCCTCTGAGGCGGCGTCGTGCGCACTGTTGCAAAAAAAAAAAAGCCATGCACACAGCCAAGCGAAATGGGGTCTTGCGCACACAACGCATTTTTGCCACGCACACCATCGCGCTCGTGCATCGAGTATAAACAAGGCTTTACTTAGTGTCAGTGCCTGCTCTGATCGGTAAAGGTGCACAGATCTCTCCCGAATCATCTCCAGGCAGTAGCAGCCTCCGAGGCACCACTAACTCTGCCTCCGTTTCCCTCGTAAGCTGATATTAGTATTTAAAATGTATGCCAAAAAATGTTTGTAAAAAATATTTTAATAACACTGTTTTGGCGGTTAAGGGGTTCTAATGTCGGTGTTCAAATATAACCAATCTCGGTTATCACGATTATCATCGGTCTATCATGGGTACAAGCAGGGGCGTAGGAGCAATTCTGAACCTGGGGGGGGGGGACCTGGGGAGACGACTTCTCTCAAGTCCGCGGCTCAATCTGGCATACCCATCCAGAGCGCTGGTCTCTGCGCGTATGGGTAACCAGCGGATACCCGTTGTATTTCAGGAAGGAGTGCTAAACACAATAAACAGTCCAGAGCTCCTTCTACGAGGTGGCATTATGCATCTAAATGGTCGGTGTTCTCTGAATGTGACCTGATCCCAAATTTAAAAATTGAGATTTTGGTATTAATGGAAAGAGGACACCATAAGCTGAACCTGAATGCTAGGGAGGTTCGGGGGTATGTCCCTCCGGGAAAATGTTTTGAAAAATAAACCATTAAATGAAGACTTTCTGGAGAGTTTTGTGCAAAGAAATGGAGAAATTGAGGCTTACCTGATATGTGAAAAACTGCAAGGTTAATAGCATATACTTCGCATTGTTGTTGTATCAACATGTATTAGGGCATTTAGCATTTACATTATTGTTAATCAGTCATGTACTGATTAACTCAAATAAATGGTTGATTTGATTTCCATTAACTATAAAATACTAAAAAATAAAATCAATCTATCCCTTGTGGAAAGGTTGCTTGGTAGCTGGGTAGTAGGTCTAGCAATTATATTTCAAGTTTTTCACACAGATCAAAAACAAATATGCTGACTGAATAGATTGCTAGTTTATTCTGAGTAGCCAGCTAGGAGTTCTCTTAACAGTTTGCTGATAATCCGGTGTCTGAAGTAAAATGCTCAAAACATCTCCTGAGAAAAATACCAACCAAGTCTTGGTTATTTAATTTTGGTTTGGTCTTATTTTCCTTACCTTGTCAATCAAGGCCACTTTTGCATATTTCTGGAACATTTGCACGCTTTCACATCCCGTGTAACTAGGGGGGGGGCATATAATGGCTCCTACGCCCATGGGTACAAGACATCAGGAAAATATGAGATACAGTATATATTTAATGGAAACATATAGGCAGTGGCGGATCGAGAAAATTTTACATGGGGGGGGGGCAAAGGGGTGGCAAGAGGTCTTGGCAGGGTGGCAGGGTAGACGGTAGGCTACATGGCAATCCCTATATGTGAATTGCTTTAACAAGACAAACATAAAAACACTTTTAAACTATATTAGATATTGTTTAATCGTGTCCTTACACACTACAAAGGTTTTTAATTTGCAGGAATAAGCCCAGTGCAGTGTTCAAACAAAATTGTGCGTTTAAAAAAAAGTAAAAGTATAAAAAGCTAAATGAAAATTTATTTTAAAAAGTACAACATTTGTATCCAAGATGCAGAGGACAGGTATAAAACAGCAGACAATACTCCAGTTCTTATTATAATTAAAAAGGTATAATTACAGTCCACAAATTACCCTCCTGGTCTCTCAAGTTTATTTCCCTCACGCTCTTCCTCCTGTGTACTACTTTTAATTTTTTTTTTTTTTTTTTTTTCGCAAAAAAGCTGGCAATATCCCCACTTTTAGCCTTTCTTTTCATGGTTAGGCTCCAGCTACTTTCTTCAACTACTCTTGCCTGCAAAAGTCAATATGTGAAATCTCTGGTTATCCTTACATTACACTGTAGGGCCATGTAGCTACTAAGTAGCTTATAACAAATATAAAATCAGAATTAGGCCCTCAAAAGTACAATTCATCTTGGAGAATAATAATAATAATAATAAACAGCAATTCCAAGAGGGTCCTCTCACCATCGGTGCTCGGGCCCTAAAGATTTATCACATGCACAGAACACTTAATGCATGTTTAGACTACTTAATGCTATTGTATTTGTTATTTCCCCAGTTATAACCTGGTTTCATTGAGTGATATCTGAGAGGAATTGGATTTATAGAACTGCTTAGCTCAGGGGTCGGGTACCTTTTTTGACCAAAGAGACATTTTTTTTATTTATTTATGGTTAATGCATTTTTTCAAAAGAGCCTCAGTAAAAGATATACACTACTGGTCAAAAGTTTTAGATCAGTAAGATTTTTTATGTTTTTAAATGAAGTCTCTTCTGCTCACCAAGGCTGCTTTATTTGATGAAAAAAACAATGTCAAACAGTAATATTGTGAAATATTATGACAATTTAAAATATATATTTTCTATTTTAATTTATTTTAAAATGTAATTTGAAAGCTGCATTTTCAACATCATTACTGTTGCTGATTACACATCAATTTTCAGGGTCACATGATCCTTCAGAAATCATTCTAATATGCTGATTTTATGCTCAAGAAACAAATTATTATTTTCAATGTTGAAAACAGTTTTTCCCATTTTTTCCCCCAATAGTACCATTAGTACCATTTTTTCCCGCCCAAAATGCTATGATAAATATAAAGTTCAAACGAACAGCATTTATTTAAAGAAGAATCTTTTCTAACATTATAAATGTCTTTACTGTAACTTTTGATCAATTTAACTCATCCTTGATGAATAAAAGTATTTTCTAATTTCTTTCCCCCAAAAATAAAAAATAAATTCTTACTGACCCCAAACTTTTGAATGGTAGTGATTAATGTTACAAAAGCTTTCCATTTCAGATCTATTCATCAAAGCATCCTGAAATAAAAATGTAAAAAACTGTTTTCAACATGGATAATCATAAATGTTTCTTGAGCATCATATTATAATAATTTCTGTAGGATCATGCGACACTGAAGACTGAAGTAATGATGCTGTAAATTCAGCATTGATCACAGGAATAAATTACACTTCACTATATATTCACATAGAAAACTGCTGTTTTAAATTGTAATAATATTTCACAATATTACTGTTTTTTGTATTTTTTATCAAATAATTGCAGCCTTGGTGAGCTCAAGAGATTTCTTTTAAAAACATAAAAAATCTTACCGATCTATAAACTTTTGAGTTTATAGATCGGTAGTGTATATAATAATATTATTAAAGACATGCTTTTTTTCAATGAAATTTCAACAGTATTAGACAAAAACAAACAAATATTTAGCAAACAAAGTTTCAATATTAATTGTGAAGGGCTTTCACAATGATGCGAGTTCTCAACTGAGCATAGTTTCTTATACTTACAGTTACACAGTAGCTACTTCTACTGTGTTTACGTGAATACTCGACTTGGCATTTTGATATATTTATGTATTCATTTGGCCATTTAGGGACGCAACCGAAAAGCGAATGAAATGATCGTTCTCCTAACTGGCGATGTGCGTTGTAACGTAACAGCGGAGACCATCAGTTAACGTTATGGATACAATATTTTATATTAAGCTGTTCTTGTCTTTACTAAAATCTAAATTAGATAATCAAAGGGAAGAGTGCTCTTAAAAATCACGAGGGAGTGATTTGACCGATGATTTTGGCTAACGTAATAGACTCGCTGTTTTTGCTGATGCTGAATCGTCTTTAGCATACAATACATACATTCATTACAAATGTAACTAAGTTAAACGTGTGTTTAAACTACACCTGGGGAAACTCACTTCACCTTCAGAGGCTCTGGGGCAGCTCAGTCTCTCCAGTCGAGTTGCAGGGCCACTCCACCGCCCCACAGCAGACTCACTGTGTCTGTGTGTGTGTGTGAGAGCCAGACTGAGCGAACGCCGCTCTGCTGCACGTTGAATCAGGGGGAGGGGCTAATAATAGGCTACATTTAAAATGACAAAATTAAATTGTTCACTTTTGGTAAATGTATTGTTTATTCCACTATTTTGAGAAGCGTGTGGAGAGGCAGGTTGTTTTTACAAGTACATTTTTTTGGATCATCAAAGTTAGGGGGGCAGCTGGGGGAATCTACATCTGTAGAACCGCCCCTGCATATAGGCCTTGTTTTTTGCAGTGTAAATACTATTGTCTGATAAAAAATTAAAAAAATAAAATAAAATCTTACAGTTTCCTTCAAATTCTACCCTTTAAATACAATTGTATTTTTCATAATGCTGGGAAGATCGAGGGAAGAGGTTGTACATTATTGTCATAAGACCTTTTCAAACCAGCCAATAGACCATTGCACCACCGAACAAAAGTGTGCATCATTGATCATTGTTCTTGCGAGAACAATTTGTCAGATGTTATAAAATTTAGTTTAAAGAGGAATTATCATGACCTAGCACTCTTTACTGTCATTAAAACATTAAAACGTAGCATGCCACAGGAAAAGTTTCCAAAAGCAGCGCATACACTACAATACTTCTATATTCATATATATATGTAAATATATATGTATATAATCTGTTCATATAATTAAATTTTCTTCTGGATTATGACTATGTAATTTGAGTGCTTAAATTGACTGTTTGATTTGAGTGCTATCCATTTAACTCCATAAATAAGACTGGAACATTTAATCTAAATGTGAATATCAAATGGAAAAGAGTTACAATTATTCTGTTTACTTCATTACTTCCCAGTAAATTCATTACATAAATTAGTAATTTGGAAACAAAACCATTACTCTAGTAATGTACTTTTAAGTTTTTTAAATCTCACAGGCCAGATGAAAGTGTTCAGCAGACCATAATTTGCCCCCCTCTGGTCTAATGTGCACACATTTACGATTAAGTTTATTTTATATGAATCCCCAAATGTGCATAGAAAATGGCACACGCACATTTCAAGTGCTTTTTTGTGCATACGCAAAGTAAATACATCAAACCCCAGGTCTTTAACTAATTAACCTGTCCTTTTGATTTGGACCCTTTGAAGTTTCACAACAATTCAACACAAAGTTTGACAAATTTCTACTTACGTTTCATGAGTGCCAAAAAAGAAGATTGGAAACTTTATATTTGACAGTTTGACGGCTCCATCTGGAATCTCATCAATCTGAAATTGCACAGTGCAATGTAAAGCATGAAACTGCAGCATACGTAAACATTTAAAGGCAAAGAACTAAACATTAATCAGATAGCGACATTTGACAACAAATGAATAATAATAATAAATGATCATCATTTAGTTGTGCTTGCTCACCCTTGCAGGCCAGTGGGGATAACCCTTCATCTTTGCAAAAATCAAATCACCAGGTTTGAAATCCTGCGCCATGTCAAGACAGATGGATCACCTTTTTTGGGACACAACAAAACAATTCCATTATTTGTATATCAAGACACCACTCATCTACTTGGCTTCATCACATCAACCTCCTCATGACACAGTGACATGGAAAGTAATTAAAAAATATTACTCGATTAGTATTTTCTAATACTATATTCTCTATTCTCTAATTATCTGAAGACGTGATATCACTCTCTGAAATGGTTTATTATAGCCTACTCGTAACTCCTTGATATAGGTTTAGCTTGTTGACTGCTAAAATCAAATAAAAAAAAAATGTCTATTGCTTTTCTCTCCACTTTCCATTCACTTGAAGTTCAAAGTGAAGCACAGAGAATGTTTAGAATGTCAATTCATCCTAATTGAAGAAAAGGTGCTCTCTCTCTAGAATAAAAAAAGTTTAAAGTTTAATTTTATAAAAATTAGTATAAAAGTAGTAAGGTTTCGACCATAGTCAAGGCCTTCATCAGACAAAGTACTGTATACATCACACACTGCTTTATACACTCTTTTACATCAATATCTCAATGGACTTTTTTTAATGCTAAAATAAAAGAATGTAGATAGAATGTGAATTTTCTTTAAAATGTTGCGCTACCGCATTACTAATATCCCCATGTCTTATGGCACTGCGATGTTCACATATACGAGTTCTCAATTATCTTGATGCTTCACCAACATGAATTATAGTTGATGATACTTTTCATAAATATATTTTGGCCTGTTTGTAAAAATATTTCAACCTTCTACTGATTAAAATTTCCACACTTGCTACCAGGGTGGAATCGCAAATAATAGAGGCTTAGAAGGACATTCATTCATTAGCCCTGACTAAAAAGTTATTTAAAAGGTAGGGTAGGCAATTTATTAGGGCTGGTCCGAATGCCATTTTTTGAGCTTGGAAGCTTCGGTAGTAATGAACATCGAATATTCGAAGCTTCGGAATCTCTATATGGTGCAATAGAGATAGACAGGCGAGACACGTACAGAATTAATAAACTTTTAATAAACTACAGAACAGCGCGAGCGGGAAGCGGCACGCCTCACACGAGAAGAATGTATGCTCCGAGAACGGACACTGCAAAAAACACACACGTCTGTTAACTTATAACTGACTAACATATAACTGACAAAGTAGGGTAGATTTAAATACAGAAGCGGTGCGCGCGCGCCTCACGCGTGCAGGAAATATGCTCCGAGAACGGACACTGCATTAGTGATATAAAATACACACACGCCTCGATCAACTTGTGTGCTGCCTCCATTCCGCCTCTCGACAAAACTCATGCTCAGAAACCCTTTTCCCATCGTAACCGTTCTGTTGCTGGTTCCCGTGTCCATTCTCAAACCATCTATTTTGCCGATAGTGATGTGCATATTCTGTAGCTCAGCCGGAGCGGCTGTGAATTTGCTACGCACTTCATTTACCAGCACTTCATTACCAGCAGGTGGCGCTATTACTTTGGGCTAATTTCGGCATGTACATGTGTTCAGGGCGGGACTATTGTATAAGGTAAAAAATTGCAGGTCTGAGGATGTACACTGAAGTTACAACAACTTCCTGTTTCATGGCGAATCGTCGACGAAAACGCGCAGGTAGCTAGTGTTGTCAAAAACTCGGTACTTCGGTACCAAGTCGGTACTAAAAAAAAAATTTTACGGTACCAGCTTTTCTAGGTACCGAGTACCAGGTTAATCCAGTTCTGTTCTAGACGCGATTTCTGAAACGTGCACAGTTGCGTCCTCTTTATAACGCTGATATGGCTCTCTCTCTCTGAATCCACTTGTTGAAACGAAAGGAGAAAAGAGCCACATATGGAAATATTTTGGATTAAGCTAATGTCACGTTACCATAAGAGGCCGATTACATGCAAATTCGCAATTTCAAATATAGGCGCGATTCAAGCGCGCTCATAATAAAAACTCGTTGGCGTTGCATAGCAACGACAGACGCCGCGTGAGAGCAAGCGCTTTGGAAAGAATAAAGCACGCGCAAAAATATAATTAAAAAACACGCGCGACATGTGAACGGCCTCTAAAGTGCTTTCGGGGTAGTTTTACGAGTACATGAGCACAGTAGTATCCACCCGACACCAGAGAACTACTGGTATTAGTATTGTCATTTAATGTCAGTGCCAGTTCTAGGCGTATTCTTGCCTTTATCACTCAGCAGGTTTAAAAAGCCTTTTTAAAATTAAATATGAATGCAGTTTTAGATTAAATAAAAGGACAGTCAAGTCAAATAAAACATGTTTTATGGTAATGCTACAAAGATACCATTCATCAACATTACTTAGTTATCAACACATTGAGTGAACAATATATTTTTACAATATATTTCAACAACTTTACAAGCAACTTTAAAAATGTGTTAGTGTATACTATTGTTTATTTTAGGTCATTTTATCTAATCTTTTTCTAAAGTGTTTATAATACAAATGTACAGTTTCCATACTTGTAACCGTGATAAACACTTAATTTAAATTTAAACTAAGCTTTGGTACCGAAATTGGTACCGAGAACCGTGAATTTTAACTGGTATTGGTATCGAATACTGAAATTTTGGTACCGTGACAACACTACAGGTAGCACAACGTTACATCGTCAATGCCTTTAGAAGGCACAGCAGAAATGTGAAGTCGATCCGACTAAATCCCAAGGAGGAGTTTGTTAACGTACGTAATGAGTAAACATCGAAAAATTCCTGTTGAGTTTAGGGCATCGCTCCAAGAGACTTTTCTGTGCGTATGGACATGGTAGATGTACCACAGAAATTTCGTACATGTCGGTCAAACATGCGACGGGGGCTGCTTCGTTAAAGGACACTTCCTGTTGCCAGCAGGTGGCGCTATGACTGTGGGTGAATGTCGGCTGTAAGATTTGTTCAGGGCGGGACTCTTGTCAAATGTGTAAAATTTCGTGCAGATCTGGGCATTTACAGCCAAGTTACTAAAACTTCCTGTTTCATGGCGAATCATCGACGCCACGGACACGCCCATCAACGAAAACGTCGCTTAATGCGCACTAAATCCCTAGGAGGAGTTCGTTAAAGTACGGAGTGTGTAAATCGTCCCAAATCGGTCACCAAATTCAAAATGCCGGACTTCCTGTCGAGTTTAGGGTATGGGTTCTTGAGGCTTTTTTGTGCGTCTTGATATGATACACGTCCCCACCAAATTTCGTGCATGTAGGTTAAACGTGGACGAGGGGCTAATTTTTTGCAATTTTCTAGGTGGCGCTAGCGAGCCATTTTGTCACGCCCATCCGCAAAACCCACAAAATACGAAATTTTTCACCATTCCTGACATGCGTGCCAAATTTGGTGAGTTTTTGAGGATGTTGCGGCCCCGAAAATGGCGCTTACTTTGCAGAAAAAATAAATAAATAAATAACCCTGACAGTGTCAATAGGGTCCTCGCACTGTTAGTGCTCAGGCCCTGATAAATAAAACAAAAAATAAATAAATTTAACTCAATATAACGAAATTTAAATTAATTAAAAACAAATAACTTGTATATAGAAAAACGAAATTGTGATGTGAGGTCCTAGTAAAATCTCAAAGTCTCGCAGTAGATTCATTTAGATTGATAATAACGGATAAAAACGGATATTATATTTTCCACAATGTCAAAGCAATGCAGCTTAACCCAAAATTCATACAAGCCCAGGCATGCACTTCTGTCCATACAAACTCCGCTGTTTTCTCCGCTGTTCTGCGCTCTAGCCTTAAGTATTATATTTCACCAGATTTTATACTGTAAAACAGAATTTTAGGGGATTAGTTTATGATCGAACATCTGCTTGTCCCGCAAGCTTGATCATTCAGTCTCTATCAAAACCCACAATATCATCCTACTTTATAGACTTTCAGGAGAAGCTATCCTGTGGCCACAAGGATTAACTTTCCTGTTCTATAAACAAATACTATAGCGCGTAGCTTTTGATCTAAGCATTAAAGGATAATAATATAGCTTCAAAATATAAAAGCTAGTAAATAAAGATAAACAAAAAAAGCATTACAAGCAATAAACAAAGAGTGGTCTCAGTATTTAAAAGTAGGCTGTCTGAATGTTTATCATTCAAGAGCTGGAGTGATTTCCCCCTCAGTTTAGATACGATAAGCTGCATTCACAATGCACATATCTCTTTTGAAATTGTAAATGTGGTTTGTCCTGTTGGTTTAAGATGTAACTGACCGTGTTTACATTAATCGCTGCCATTTCTATTCTATTCTATTCCATTTCTATTCCATTCTCTATTATGTTCTGCTTTTTAAGGCCATTCAATATCCAAGGCAGCTGATGTGCTTTTTAGTTGGTCGGGACTAACAATTTTTTCCTTTCTTTTTTACCGATGGTTATTTATTTTTCTATGATGCAGCACTCGGTCCCCTTACTTAGGAAAACTTTCCTAACACATTTGTTATTGGTTATTTCCTAGTTTATTCTTCGTTCGTGTTCTTTAATAACTTTGTCTTTGTCTATTGTTTCTTTAAATGCCAGGGGTTTAAGGCAGATTTGTAATAGGAAAGCCTTATTTTTATTTGCTAAACAACTTCGTACGGATTTTTGTTTTTTTCAGCAAAGCCATTCCACATCTGCTGATGTCAATTTTTGGAAATCTCAATGGGGAAATGATATTTGGTTCTCTCAGGGTTCAGAGAGATCTGCTGGGGTAACCACCCTTAAAAATACTTTCACTGGTGATGTCCTGCACTCAGACTGTGATTCCTTAGGACACTACATATGTCTTATAATTAGAGTTGACAACATTTATGTTACAATTATTAATCTTTACGGTTATAATAACAAGCTCGAAAATGATAAATTACTTGATTCATTAGAGGAAAGAACTACATTCTGGCTCACTAAATATCCAAACTCTCTTCTTCTAATTGGTGGAGACTTTAATGTTGCTCTAGATAATACTATTGACAGGTGGCCTCCTGGGCAGCCCTCCTCCATCAGCACAAACCTTAAAAGACTTATGGGAAGATTTAACATTGTG